GGTGGTGGGGTTGTTGTGGTTATTCCAGGAAGATCAAACAATGAGTTAATTCCCCCATCCCAGGATGGGTGTTGGACATTATTCCATGGGGGTTAAAGCAATCCTCAGATCCCTGGGATAGGGTGGGAGACATTCAGGAAAAAAAGTAATTATCCAACCTCCTCCAGTACCAGCATCACAGAGTGATGGTGCTGGGGGGTTATTCCATGAGGGTTAAAGGATGACCTTTAATTCAAATTGATTTATGTATTTATTATTAAATAAATTTAATTGATTTAATCAATTTAAATAAATTGAGGAGACTGGGGATGTGGTGTCGAGGGTGGGCAACCTCCCAGAATGGAATAGTGGAGCCAAGGGGAGACTTATTCCAAGGGGATTAAAGTAACAACCCGACCCTTGGAGAGGATCCTAGAGGGTGGCAGGGGTGGGTTACTCACAAGGGACTAAAGCAATGATCCCCTGACCCCTCCAGGGGTGGGTGGTGGTTCCAGAATTTATTTCAAGGGGCCTAAACACCCCCTGACCCCTGGGAGTGGGGGATGGTGGTGGTGGTGGGGTGATTATTCCAAGGAGTTTTAGGCAATGATCTGGTCCCCGTGGGCAGAGTGGGGGAGGATTTAGAAGGAGGCAAAGCTTTGGCTCCTCGGAGCTGGTGGTGGTGTCAGGGTTTATCCCAAAATCAGTGCTCTGACCTCTCCAGGACCAAGTGGTGCTGGTGGGGGGGATATTCCAGGGTGCTTTAACAACGGCCTGACCCCCATGGACAGGGTCAGGGACCATTCCAAGGGGCCAAACCATCAATCCAACCTCCCTGTGAGGAGATGGAAAGGATATTTTCCCAAACAGATTAATGCAACTACCAACCTTTGGGGTGTGGGGTGATGAATGTTTGAGGGGGGTCGAAGCAGCCACCCAGGCTCCCAGGGGCAGGGGCTGCTGGAGGGGATATCCCAGGGTGCCTGACCCCTATGGACAGAGTGGGGGACCATTCCAAGGGGGCCAAACCATCAATCCAACCTCCCCGTGAGGAGATGGTGCTTAGAAAGGATATTTTCCCAAACAGATTAATGCAACTACCAACCCTTGGGGTATGGGGTGATGAATATTTGAGGGGGGTCAAAACAGCCACCCAGGCTCCCAGGGGCAGGGGCTGCTGGGGGGGATATCTCAGGGTGCCTGACCCCCATGGACAGAGTGAGGGATTAATATAAGGAGGCCAAACCATCAATCCAACCTCCCTGCAGACAGGATGGTGCTGAGGAAAGGATATTCCCAAGGGATTCCACACAATGACCGACCCCCGGGCGAGGCACCAAAGCAACCACCCACCCTCCCCAGGGACAGGGGGAATTTCCCGGAGCCGGGGAGGCGCTGGGATTACTCACGATGAGCGGCAGGGAGCAGACGGTGAAGAGGACGGTCATGAGCCCCAGCAGGACGAGGTGGTCGAGCTCCTCCATGCGCGGGGCGGCGGCGGGGGGCGTCCCGCGGCGGGGCTGCCTGCGGGCCATGCCGTACAGGTGCCGCATGCTGCTCACGTTGCACGCCACGATGGCCAGCACCAACAAGCCCATCAGGCTGGCGTAGAGCACGGGGAAGCCCAGCTGGCCCGCACCACCGCCGGCCATGCGGATGAAGCACCATGTGCCGGGGCAGTACTGCATGGGAGCCCCAAACCCCAGCAGGGGCAGGGCGCAGAACAGCGCGCACAGCCCGGCGGCCGCCGGCCCCAGCGCGGCACCCAGGCGGCGGGTCAGGTGCCGCCGGTAGAAGTAGGGGTGGCCCAAGGAAAGCCAGCACTCCAGAGCCATGGCCAGCAGCAGCAGCGTGGGGGCCAGCCCGAAGAAGGCCATGAGGAAGGCGAAGAGCTGGCAGAGCACCCCCGGCTGCTCCTCGCCGCGGCCCCCCGGCCCCAGCTCGCTGAGGCTGCGGTTGTAGGCGTACGCTGCCAGCACCATGGGGCTGATCAGGCACTTGCCCAGCAGGTCGGTGACCGCCAGCGCCGTGACCAGCACGTAGAACGCCGACACCCGCGGCGGGCGGCCCCCGGGCGACCGGGACCGGCGGCGGTGCTGGCCCAGCAGCAGCAGCGCCAGGACGTTCCCCAAAAGGCCGGCGGCGAACAGCACCGAGCTGGGCACGGCCGACTGCCCGCTCTCGATGTGGCGGCTGCTGCGGCAGCGGTAACCCGCGGGCTCCATCGGCAGCGGCCGCGGGGATGCGCCGCTCCGCTCGGCGCGGGCTGCGGTGGATGTCCCCCCGCACCGGGCTGGGAAAGGACCGACAGGAGCCCGCACCGCACGGCGGCGATGTCCCGCAGCGGGATGCGATGCGGTGGGATGGATGGATGGATGGATGGATGGACGGCAGAGGGATGCGATGCGATGGATGGATCGCACCGCACCGCGCCGCGCTTGCCGGTGGCGACTGTCCCGGCGGGGCGGGTGGCCCCCGCCGCGGAGAGAGGGAGGCAGGAGGAGGAGGAGGAGGAGGAGGAGGAGGTGCGGTGCAAGCGGGCACGGCCCCTGGGACAGCCCCTTCTCGCCGCCCGGCCCGCCCCGGCCGGCGGAGCTCGGCTGCGGGCCGGGGGTGCGCCGCTCCCCCGGGAGAACCGAGGCTCCCCCGGGAGGGAGGGGAAGGGCCGGGGGTGAGTGCCGGGGGGGAGGGTGAGGGACTCTGGGTGAGACTCTGGAGGGGAGGCAGCTGGAGCTGAGCCCCTCGGGGTGGGGGTGCCGGAAAGGGGACGGGGCTGAGCCGCGGGGGGGGTCACGGGTGGGGGAGCTGAGTCCGAGCAGGGCTGGGGGGATACGGGACAGGGGGACTGAGCCCCTGGAGGGGTGACAGGGCCGAGGGCTGGACTGAGCCCCTGGAGGGGTGACAGGGCCGAGGGCTGGGCTGGAGTGACAGGGAAAGGGGCTGGGGCTGATCCCTGCGGGTGTCGCAGCACAGAAACCAAGTCCATGCAGTGGAAAGCGTCCCTGCCTGCGGCAGGAGGGTGGGAACGGGATGATCCTCCAGATCCCTTCCAACCCAAACAATTCTGGGATTCTGGTATGGTTCAACTCGAGCAGGTGCCGCATCTACCTGCAGCCCATCCCACAGGTCTGCCGTGTGCTGCTGACCCCCCAGGTCCTGGCAGTGCTCCTCTGTCCCACCAGCAAACTCCGGGAGAAGCCCCCAGAGCTCCTTCCAGGAAAAGCAGTTCCGACCGCAGCACCACGGCTGCAAAAACACAGCGGCTTGCAGGGTGCATGTGATGATGAATAAGCATGAAACCGTGCCTGTCTGCTCTCAGACCACTTTTTGCTACTCTGGATGAGTGTACACGAAGCACAGGGAAGTATCAAAATGACAGCAGGGGCGGGAAAGGAGGTTTGAGGGGGCAGACATCATTCATGGCAGGTTTTAGTGGCGGGCTGTAGCTCTTGTAGCTGGTGATTCTTCCAGCAACGAGGGCAGGGACTGTTTGTGGCAGTGCAAGGGAAAGTCCTGGGTCCGGAAGAAATCAAGATAAAACTCGTTGCAGCGCAGCTCTCACCCACGTCTGGTGTTGAAGTGCTGCCCTCATTAGGGCTGAGTGTGAACCCAAAGGCTGCTTCCTGCCTGGGGCCCCGGGGGAGAGGAAATTCAGCCTGCCCTGAGAAGCAATCCGAATGATAGCTTCCAAAATAGCTCCTGGAAAACACCCAGTGCCTTCCTTAGCTGAGCCTGCGCTGCTGTCGGCTCCCTGCAGGGATCCCAGCAGCAGGGAACGGGGGAAGGAGGATGTGATGGGTTCCCTCAGCTTTTCACAGGATGAAGATTGGCAAGGAGAGCCCAGCACCTCTGGAGAGCTGATTTACCGGGAGCACAATGCCTGTCCTGACCCCTGGAGCAATTGGTGCCATCCCTGCTGTGATGCTGCAAATGCCAGGGAGGACGCGCTGGCACAGGTGCCCAGAGCAGCTGAGGCTGCCCCTGGATCCCTGGCAGTGCCCAAGGCCAGGCTGGATGGGCTTGGAGCAGCCTGGGATGGTGGAAGGTGCCATGGCAGGGGTGGGATGGGCTGGGCTGTGACATCTTTTCCAACCCGAGCCGTTGTGGGGTTCTGTTGGGATCCCCGATGGGATCAGCTGCCGGCAGAGCCGTGACCCCGCACACTCCCCGTCTGCTCGGGTAGGGAAGAGGCTGCACTCCTGGGCTGCTCGCCCACCACGGGAAAGTCCCTTCACAGCCACCAGAAGGCCGAGTTCAGTGGCAATTCGATGCTTGGCAAGAGGAGGAGGAAGAAATGAGACAAAACCCAGCCCCTTCTGGAGGTGGGTGCTGCCCCCGGTTGCAGCAGCTGCGGCTGGAAAGCCCAAAGGATCCGGGGTGCTGCTGCTTCTGACCTTGCACTGCTCCATGGGGAAACTCTGGGATGGAGAAGGGACTTTTTGGGACCATCTGACTGCGGCTCTGATGCTGTGGGAGCAGGCACAGGAGGAACCCACGCAGTGCAGGTGTGGCTGGGGGGGTCAGAGCAGGCGGGCAGGGGATGATTGCACCTGGTCTGGAATCCTTCCCCTGCTGCTGGAGGATCTGATGCTGAGGATGGCCAACCACAGGGCCTGTTTGGAGCCCTGGATGCTGAGAATTTTAGGCTTTTTCTGTTCAAAGGCACAGAACCCCAAGAAAACCCTGCATTTGACCTGAGGCTGTGGAGAAGCTTCCAGAATGGAATAACAGAACTGGGATTGTGTGGGTTAAGTTTGAATGGAAGTGCGTGATGTCACAGGGTGGAAAACTCAGAGTTTAAGGGTTTAGAATATAGTAATATATCTAAAGCAAGATGGAGGTTTTAGAGTGGAGGCTGATCCTTCTTCTCTTC